CTTTAAGCAATTCACCCCAAGTGAAGCTGGAGTGCCATTATTACGTAAGGGGCTACAGAGAGTGTAAGGGAAAAGACTGTGTATCGGTGATGTGGGTTAAGGAAATGATCAAATTTTTTGAAGATTATAGTTATCAGAAAAGCAATTAAGATGAAGGTAGTTTTACTGTTGGGCGAAGATGCTGTTGGAGTAGAAGAGGCGGTTTCGACAATAAAAAGTTTAGGTCGAATATCCAACCTAGTAGCACGCTTAAATTTATGCAATGGAGACATCAGTGAAAATACGTCTTCAGATGCCATGAAAATATTTATAAAAAAGACAGAAGGAGGCCACATTATGTCGGTGAGAAAATTATTGTTAGTTGAGTCCCCAAGTCAGAACCAATCACACTGAATATCCTTATATATATATATATATATATATATATATATATATATATATATATATATATATATATATATATGGGGCGCACCTACCTTCTAACTAGTAATGGACTGGTCCCTCTTATATAAGTCAGCTCTGGGGAGAGAGTCAGGGTTAGCAGTCCAGATAAGCTTACCCGGTACATACCGTTGGACTATAGACTTTGGATATTGTTTCGTACTAACCAACCTTCGTTCTACTAATCACTCTATTGTTAATTGCTTTTATGAATATACCAGTATTTTCCTCTACAACTGTGTTTGTCTTGATTCTTACACCAACACGCGGGAAACTCACAACATCTCAACAACAAGTATATGATTGGTGTATATTAAATGTATTTTTTAATACTACCCATATTTTAAACATCTGAATAGCTATTATAACATGACTTCGTTGTCAAATTTTTGAATTTTCCTATACTTGTATTTTGATTGGTCCATCTAGCTTTTGTAACAACGGTTTCCCGTTGTGAACGATTGTTAATTAATTCGAAACTTTTAAAACCATTTATTTTACATTCAACATCATCACTTGATAAGACACCGAGAATGTTGAAACAAAATGGCTATTTTTGAAGTGATTTTATAACATATTTATCTTATAATTTTTTTAAATAAATGATTATATATATATATATATATACACACACACACACACACACACACACACATATATATACACATACCCACAACACACACACACACACACATATATATAGATAGATAGATATATAGATAGATAGATAGATAGATAGATAGATAGATAGATAGATGAAAACAGATTACACAGGGTATCTCAATTATCACGAAGGGATTTCAAAATTTCATTATTTCTTTAATTTTTAAATTTAATTCCACATGCCATAGCATTATCGGATCATCACAAATTTAATTTTTTAATCAGGCATGAACTTTTGCAAAGATCTAATATAAATATGGCAAATAAATTTACATTATTTTAGAAATATTATATCTTTTAAGTGGTGTCCATGAACGTGTTCTTTCTAAGGCATTTTCCACCAAAGTGTTTTGGTCTCTAGTGTTTTGATGATTGTCTGAATGTTGTCGTTCACTTGTTGGAGAGTCTAAGGTTTATTGACATAAATATTTTCTACGGGAAAGCCGCATCGGAATATCTCACGGCTTGTCAAATCCGCGGAATAGTGATGGCTAGCTTATGCCACAACCGTGAGAAATCATTCTTTTGCCGAAAATTTGCCTCCCCAACTTGTACGAAAACAGGTTGATGCATTTAAAAATTCTTTGGGGTGACGTCAAGAGATGCAAATCTGTTGTGACCGCCTCCAAGCTGATGCACTCGGATCTTCTTCGATACTCTCCCTTACTCGTTCAACTACTCCTTCGTACGTGGTATGTCATTTGTTGGAAGGTCACTTACTTTCAAAACCTGGAGAATATCTCAGACCGTAATGGCGACCATATGCTCGTCGAGTTTCAATTATTGATGTTTGGTTTTGATAAAAAGAATTCACGAATTGTGTTCGTTTTTCAGTTGTGTATTTTTACAAGATTAATTTCCAAAGCCTCCTTTATAAGAAAGAAAACTACAAAAGAATTAATAAATGTTGAAACTTGACTAATGCATGGAATAATAATACAACACAAAATGTACTTAGAATAAAATGTATTGAAACAAGAAAGGGTACACAATATTTACATATAGTCTTTTGTATATTCCTGGTAAGACCGTTCCTGGAGAATGTGTTGACTGAGTTGCAGTCGGGCAGAGTCTCTGGTTGAATCTCTTGATTCCTCCCGCTCTTCCCGGTATCAACCATATTTATATGGTCGGTACTCCACTATGCAAATTAGGTGGATCCTACCACAACAGATAGATAAATAGATAGATAGATAGATAGATAGATAAACATAATTGACGTCGGTATAGAAATACCATAAGCCAAAAATAAGTTTTGAAATTAAGTATGACAACCATAAAAATAGCCTAAAGTGAATGTGTGTTTCTAAAAAAGGCAGATTTTTGCTTTAAGCACTTGGTAATAAATATCTGGCTTGTCTACTAAAAGCGCCTGGCTTAGATTAAGTTAATTACAATTTCTCTGAATCTGGTCGGTACTCCACTATGCAAATTAGGTGGATCCTACCACAACAATAAATAAATGATTTAATTAACTTTGCCTATTCAGTGATTTTTGGAACCCTCTGTGCTTTTTATTAAAACTGTTTTATTTACTTTGAAAAGGAAGGTTATTTTGTCCGACTCAACGAAGAAAGGCGGTCTCGCGATCATTAAAAACCCGCAAATCTGGGAACAGAATCACGTTCTGCGGCAGAATGACAGCGACGGACGAAGGACATTTATAGATTTTTCGGGCACTGCTAATTAGTAGAACTGTAGCATTAACCAGCCTCATAAAATTATGGCGAAGTTCCTCCATCTGCTTATATTATCTTTGACCTCAGCATAAGCAAGTCGTACCAAAGAGGGAAAACTGACAACGCTTAAAAGCTACACGATGTTGTGCAGATGGAATTATTTTAACGAGGCATGACTAGAGATGATTTTCCAGCAGAATACGGAACCTTGTGCGTAATTAACTTGTGATAAATTTTATATTTTGCCAATCGTCTTAAAATCCTCTCAAACCTAGTAAGCCTTTAATTAGCTTATACAACTTAAGCTGGATGCTTGCAGCAGACTTTCGAACAACAGTAGGAATAGGAAAGTACCTAAAATATTCATTCGAGTGAATTCAAAAGTTCGTTCACTTTTTATTGGAAGGTGTCATTAGGAGAGTTAAGGTTTAACTAACTATATTCTAAACGATCGCTTTTGAACATTTCTATGATGATACAATGTGAATTTTTAAAATATATTTTATCAAAAATGGCATTTATTTTAATATCGAAGAGAGAAGAAAAACATTTATGCACACATTTAGTACTAAGTTTTTTTTAATTCTTTTTAATGCTCAAATTAGTAGACATTAAGTAGAAAGTTGTTTCAATGTAACGGAATTAGTATAATTTGTAACGACGCTGTATAAATTGTACATACTCAGCAATGTAGAATTTATTATTCGGATCCTTCATCCATTTGAGTGGGTCACACCATGCCTGTCTTAGGTGATTGTCACGTTTAGTAATTCACCTATGCATTTGATGTAAGCAGCATAGTGTGATGAGTTGATTTGGAATTTGTCTTCTCTGAATACAGTATAAAATTATATATTTGATATCTATAATTTAGTAATTTGGTATATAATTTGATAGCTATAATAGTAATTTTATTTTTTTCTGTTTCTTTCTTGAATTGCACAAGCCATAAAAAACTTAGGAGTGGAGTTGTAAAGTATTATCACAGCTGCTCACAAAAATATCTTTATTGTGTGTGAGAATGTGTAAATATTAGTGTATATGTTCTCATATATTCTTTGCATTTTTGTCCATGTGGCCGAATGGTTAGAACGTTCGCATTCTGACCATGAGACCCGGGTTCGAATCTCATCATGGTCGATTTTTTAGGAAGGAAACTTCCTGATGTTATCGGAACGTAGGGGACAATCCCAAGTGTGGGACACATTTGGAATGTACCTGAAAACCATACCACGGCTTGACCCAACCTTGTGAGTGTAACTGGGTAGATCGGAGCCCGTGCTGTGCTAGCACGAAGTCACAAGTCATCGTGGCCGAGGGCTTGAGTGTGGTGGCCTTGGTCAAATTGTTGATCATGCTAGATAACACGCTATTTCATAGAAACTGTAACTCGGCTCTATAAACCACAGAGAGGATCTGTGGGTGCTGCATAAACACAAACGCGTTTGAGAAACGTCTGCAATAGGGATTGGCTAGCCACCCTAGTAGACGGGTATCCTCGAATACGAGTGTCCAGCTATATATATATATATATATATATATATAGGGAAAAGCTTATAGTTCTTCCAGTGAGTTGGAAATGTATATTTTAAAAAAGAGAGAAAACGCTAACGTTTTTGGTTATAATTTGGATTTGTTTTAGTATATATATTATATTTTATTCTTCATATTTCTGCTACACAGGTTTCCGGTCTCGTGGCCATCTTCAGGCAAATAAAGGGAATAATTTTTTTAAAAAATGAATTTTCCTTGAACAGTTCAAAAAGTTGTTCAAGTCTCACTAACAAATACAGAAAACGAACAATGAGACATTAAAAGAACATAAGGAAAATGTGGGTAGAAGATGTTAATCGGACCCTCACAAGACATATTGAAGGCGAGATTTGTAGTAGGAATCGTCGCGTTGACCCCTTGACGAGATTGTCTAAATAGATGGTAGAAGAGGAATTGGAGGTGGGGTATAACAAGGGGGAAATATAGTGCTTAGAGTTGTAAATGATAGGAAGTTGTGGAGAGCCATGCCCCCGTCTCTGTGCCATCCCCGTCGAAAACGGGCACGGCACAGAGAATCAGAGGAAAAAGAAGAAGATATATTCATTTGCCAAATTCATCCAATGTTTAGTGGCTTTTGCTATCGCTTGAGTAGTTCAACTTCTTGTAAATCGTAATCCAACTCCATCAGAGGAAACCAATTACAGTAATCAGCGTAATCGATATATGTCCTTTTTATCTTTTCGGCAAGTAATTAGAGCTCAGTTTCTTTCTTTTTTTAATCTTGGTTTAATTTATCTCCATTCTTTTTATTCGTTCGTTATAGTTTCCTTAATTTTAAACGCACGTTTGTTATTTTCACTGAGCTTAAAGAAAAGTATGTCTTGAAACGGTTGTAGCCACACAGAACTGGAAACACCGAGAGAAAGAAAGCGTAAAAAATGTAATTTGAAATTGTAATAATGAGAGACTGACAATTGAGCAGTTGGCATTGGCTTTAAACTCCCTCAGATTCGATACGTCCAAACAGCTACTTTTCGCCTACCTCAGTAGTTTCTGACCGATTCGACTAATCCTGCTCCGGTTGAAATCCTCTAAACTCTGTTTATTCTGGTTTATTCCATTTTTTTTTTCATTCTCTCAACACAAGATTTGTTTTCGAAATACCCTGGGTTACGGTCATATCACGTTGAAGCTACCAGTTCCCGTACGACCACCGAAGTTAATCAACGTCCAGCCTGGTGAGTACCAAGATAGTTGATCACTCTGGAACAGCAGGTGCTGTAAGCTTGGATGACCAGATGGTGTAATAGATAATGGCTCGGAAATGTTAATCGGAGAGCCGGGTTCTAATTCCAGTGGGGTTCGTTATATTCACTTATTCACGCGTAAATAACCCTGGAAAAAGGTATGAATTCACCACTTCTCCCCTACAGCTATAGACTAATTAGTAAGACGAAGTCATTCTCTTTAATTTTTTAATCGTTTCTCCCTAAGCAATGTGAAAATGTCCCTAGACCACAAGAGAGTGAAATTCAAAGATAATGCAGACGAGAAGATTGAAAATGGTGAGCATTGCGGGAAGGAAATGAAGGTACAGGGTCTTTAACCTTGTTCTTTTATGTCCTTGGTGAATGACGCTGCATTTTTTTTTAAATAGCGGTTATCAGGGAAGCAAGGAATCGGCCGAAAAGTCCACAGGTTGAAAGTGCGAGAAAAAAACTCTTCGATCAGAAGTAGCGTATGCATCTGGCCAATTCAATAGAGACCTAGTTGCCAATCTATTTGATGTGGGCCCATAGTCGGGACCACGGAAGGAAAACACGGAACACGGATTAGAGGTAAGAAAGATATATTAAATAAAAAGGTTACAAAGATAGTGTAAGTGTAAGCGGAGCTTACTATATACTAGTGTCCAATATTAGTAGTCGTACGCGGCTGATACTACGGTATTAGCTCTCTCTCTCTCTCTCTCTCTCTCTCCTCCCTCCCTCTCTCTCCTCTCTCTCTCTCTCTCTCTCTCTCTCTCTCTCTCTCTCTCTCTCTCTATCTCTTTTCTTCTTCTCCTCTACAATGTTATGTCGCATACTTTATATAGTCCTGGAAGAGTCCATGTTGTAGGTATGTTACGGTCTCACAATACTATTCTTCTTTTTATGTACCGTGTCTTTTTAGGACATAGGTGATCATGGTTCTCCACTCCCCGCTACCCCCTGTAGCTCTAAATAAGTTTCGTCCCTTTGCCACCTCCTCCAGGCCACGTTCTGTCATCCACTTGCTTAAGCCCGCCAGGTATATCATGCGTTGCTTTCTCTTGTCTCTCTTTCCCTCTATTCGACCCGTGAGTATCAGACTCTCCAGACCCTTCTTTCTCATTACGTGTCCCAGAATTTTAGCTATTCTCTTTCTGATGTTAAGTATAAGCTTCCTCCTTGGTTGCATCCTCTCTAAGACCTCATCGTTTCTCACACGCTCTGTCCATGATATCTTTAGCATCCTTCCGTTGCCCCGAGTCTCTTCTTCATCTTTGAGGAGACCGTCCAATATTCGCTGCCGTAAAGGAGAACAGTGACGTAGTCTGGGCACCAGAAAAAACACACACCTGAGCAGTTGCTATTAAGATATTTGTAGAACAGAGTGAAGCCACTTTATGTCTGTGAGAATGTTGCTGGAGACGAGATGTCTGGTCAGGATTGCTTTTTTGTCAAGAATCACAATATGCACACTAGGAGGACTAGACCATATATGGCAACAGTATTCAATACACAGACAAATGGTAGATTCATAAATGTACATGAAGATTTCAGACGAATATCATTTTTCTGGCACCAAACAGTGAATCAAATTTCCTCGTAGCAGACGCAGTAATTGATTCGATTTAGTTTGTCTACTTCATGTCAGTGGAAACGTGAGGCCAAGAATGCGAACAATGTTGCTCTTCTGAAGTCCAGCGTCAGCCATATTGACGACAGCAGAAAATTTCCTCTATTTTTAATGAAAGTACTTTTGTTTTGAAGACGTTGAAATGTACAATGTATTTCTTGCCCTAGATAACCACTGACTGCAGGCCGTGTTCGACATCAGTGGTCAGATTAACTTTGTCAGATCGAACGGATTTCCTATTTAAAGAGGGGTAATAGCAGTGTCATCTGCATAAATACCTACTTGGAAAAATTATGACATCGGGGAGATCGATGATGAAGATCAGAAACAGCTTAGATCCAAGGATAGAGCCTTGGGGATCCTGCGTTCGTAAGATATAATCTGGATGCGATCAAGATCAAAACGACCTCTATTTGATGATTTTTTAGGAACGATTGGATTAAACCAAATATTATTACTCCTGTGACACCGTATCACTGGAGCTTGCATAGAAGGCCAGCATGTCAAACCTTGTAGAACGCCTTCGAGATATACAATTTCAGTGATGGCTGTTAACACATCAGCAGAACGGAAGCCATACTGATTGTCGTGAGAAGTAAGATGCTTAACTACTTGAGAATTGATTAGATCCTCGAGTTTAAAAATTCTTACAATCTAGAAATATTTTTTAACCTGCAAAAAGTGTTGATAATCCCTTCAGGGAGACAGAAGACAGCGATTGGTGTTTAATTTATTGGTAGGGCCGTAAGGAAACAAAAGGGAGTTACACAGGCAAGATGTGCGAGAAAAGAAATTATTAGAAATAACATACTGTTGTATCTATCTAATACGACAGCAAAACGGCGAAACTTAGTAGGACGCTAAAATATATTGCAGTTGAAGCACAGAATAGATGTATAGACTAGATGCCACATCTTAATACTGTACAAGACTAGACATAAGCGGCACCTAGCGAGACTCGAGCTCTCTACTGTATGAATAGGTGCCAATATCCATTGGTGAAATTGGACCCTCTAAGAAAATAGCCTCTTGTGTTGCTTGCGACAATGTAACACGCGTTCTTTCAAGGTTTGTTTCCGAATTGCTGACTACCGGCTTGATTCCGTATCTAGCCGCCGCCCCCCCCCCAGGCTTGCATGTGGCACAAGGCCGAGTTTAACGTGGGTTTCCCGAGCTCGTAGTCAGAGAGTTCGACCGTCAAGCCGAGCTTCTCGGCTTGATTCGGTATCTAGCCATGCCAACAAGGGTTGCATGTGGCACAAGGCCGAGTTTAACGTGGGTTTCCCGAGCCCGTAGGCAGAGATTTCGATCGTCAAGCCGAGAAGCTCGACTTCATTCGGTATCTAGCCCCTCCACCCTACGAGCGTTGCATATGGCACAAGGCCGAGTTTAACGTGTGTTTCCCGAGCCCGTAGGCTCGGCCAAAAAATGCCCGTAGAACGGGTATAAACGGGATCGGGTTGGTCAACCTCCCCGAACGAGACTCTGCCCTTCGGCGGAGCCTCGTCCGGGTTCCTCTCTGCTCAGAGGCAGAGAGTTCGACCGTCAAGCCGAGAAGCTCGGCTTGATTCTATTCCTTTTGAATCAATAACCCTATTTATGCTTAATATTGACTTCAGTTTGGTTGAGTTTGTACGTTGTTTTTTGGGGGTTTTTTTTGGTTTTTTTCTCATGCCAAAATCTGTTTCTTGTTATATTTGAAGTGTAAGTCAATACTAGTTGGGTTTATACCAAATCTATACTTTAAAATTGGTTGGTTTTGCTGGCAGCTAGTCTATACATAAGAAAACCTGGCTTCAATTACTTTCCCACCGCTGTGACATTGCGTCTCTGCCTACAAATATGTTCATGGCAATCTTCCTGATTAGCTTTCTGTCTTGGTTTTTCAACTGCATGTAAATAAGCGTCGTACTAAAAGTTTCGCCGTTTTGCTGTCATACTAGCTAGATACAACAGTGTGTGCTTTTCTAATAATTTCTTTTCTCGTACATCTTGAGCGTGGAACTTCCTTGTGTTTTTTTTTACTTCCCTACCAACGACTGTTTTTTAAAAAGCTTAAATTCAACACCAATGGTCGTCTTCTGTCTTCTTGAAACCTGTCTTTTTATTGTTCCGTTTATCTCCCTTCCCTTCACTAAAATCTTTTTTTATTCTCTTTTACTCTTTTATTTGCTTTAACGCCTTACTTGAGGTGGAATAAATAAAGATTTTCCAACAGCCAAGGTAGGAATTTGAACTCAGCATGCTGCTTCCACTTTCTGCCCCAATAAACATTCTACTATTCGGGGTAGACTTAAATCATTCGAGTATTCTAATGAAAAATTCTGAAAGGCAAAAATAGTGTCGCCATTGTTGTAACGACATGGGATTGGTTGTGAAATCTACGCAAATACTTTAAGACCCTTTATTCAAATCACGTACTTCGTTGTCTGTTTTAGCTTAGCATAAATTTTGATTCGCCTCACCACAGTTTTACCCGTCGATCTTGAAAGAACAGACATTATAATATATGCATACCTTTGTTATAAAAATAATACTTACTAGGTAGACCAGGAAAGTTATTTCAGTTTAGTGAATTTCACATTTCAAAACTTGTTCGGTCATTCAATATCGAAGACTGTTCTTTTTTTATTTTATTATTTTTTTTTAATTAATTATCTTATTTCGTTATTAAGCTTGCTATTATATCCCGTTAAAACACTGCTTCTCGTCCAATCACAAAAATTAAGCAACATTTAGCCTGGTTGTACTCAGATGGGTGACCGCTAGGGGATACTAATACCAGATGATGTAAGCTATTCAATAGGCCTAGCAAGCTAGCGATGGGTACCGTCTTGATATTTATTATAACAGAGCTCGGTATGTAGAGGTGCTTCTGAACCCACAGGTTGCAAGATCTAACATAGAATAGGTTAGTGTTTTTTGGGGTTTTTTTTTTCATTATTCTTACTGCATATTCTAGCACAATATTATACAGGAAAAAAATCCCAATAAAGAAATAGTTTTAATTTTTGGCCTTTTAACATTCTACGGCTCGGAACGATAAATCGGCGATCAGAGTTCGAATTCTGGACGATTTTGTTGCCTTCTCGTTCGCAGAAATGTACTTGTTAACCAACTCCAACTATAGATTAAGAAGTAGCACTGGCTAGGTTCCCATATCTTGAGATGGTAACCAGTCTAGAAGAAAGAAAACTCTGAACTCAAACCCTCCTTGAAGAGAGATTAACTCACTCAGGCTGTTTTGCTTTAGACAACCCACTGCTGTTATGGCTACAGTACACGTGGTGTTCCTACGGCTGTAATGGATCATGAGACTCGCAGCGTGACATTAATTGCCATCACAAAAACGTCCGCATATGTTTTAATTATATATCTCGCCCTAACGAGCGACTAATTAGATACACTATTTACATTATTCGGACTAACGAGCGACTAATTAGATACACTATTTACATTATTCGGACTATTGTCCTCATCTTTGTCGCCACATTTATTACAACGTTTCGGCCTTTGTACGCTCTGGTCTTCTTCAGGTGGTTCAAGGATACGTGGCACAGTTGATAAAGGTGTTGGCTAAATCCAGTGACAGGACCCAAAGAGTGTGAGTTCAATACCCGGTTAAGACAGTGGAGAACTTGGAGAGGGGAATTAACAGGAGATAACTGATAACTGACATCCATTAGAACATGGCACGTGGAACTAGAACAGTCTATCCCAGTGAGCGAAATAAAGGGTTCAGTTTGACATTTCAACCACATGAAGACATACAACGACCGAAACATTGTAATAAATATGGCGACAAAGATAAAGGCAATCCGAATAATGTAAATAGTGTATATAATACCTCATCTCAGAAATATAGACAGACTAATTAGATCTTCACACTTTGAGTTATAGACCACTTCCTTTATTGTGGATAGTAGGTCATCAACATCAATATTTTTGAATGGTTTTCTAGTGAAGGTGGGGTCGTTACACTTGATCAGGAAGTGCTTCATCATATATATTGGCTGACATGCAACACATACCTACTTCTCGTTTTGTCTAAGTTTAAAAGAATCTAATGTTTTTTTTATGTAGCCGATACATATTCTGAACAAGTTATCTGTTTGCTTTAAATGTCCTCCAGAATCGTTGTTGCCATTTTCCTAGGGTGGATGATCTAAAGACGACTATTTATAGTTTCTGTCTCGGAAAAAATTCAAATTTCGAGTAGCAAAATTATTTAACAATTAGTGGGTTATAAATCTCATATTAAGCAGACGTTTTCACAAAGCTCAAAGAACTTAATCCCAAACTGCAATGTTTGGAAAAGGATAAATTAAAAGACAATGTGGAAATAATAGGGTTGGAATTATCATTCTTGATTTGCTAATGGCATTCTAGAAATATATACTGGGTGGGTAAGCCAGACTTAAAACAGGCCGACCTGTTTAATACATGTACATGACACTTGCAATCCATTCAGAAGAACAATATGAATAAAGAATGAATAAAAATATAACATCAGACACACAGCTGCATCTGTCTATATTCAGAGTAAAGAATTATTTTATATGGATAATAGGTTATTGACATCGGCGTTTTCGGTTGTGTGGTTCGCGCTATCTATGTCGATGGGCTTTGAACAGTATCTTGAAGAAGTGGTTGTGTATTAAACGAAAAAAAAACTCTCCATAATTGACTAGCTTGGATTCTGCTGTTGACTTAAAACCAACTCAGGAAGCAAACGTAACCCGTCTAAAAAGGGATACTTTAACAAAACCCATTCAAAAATCGAACTGCAATAATCCTGGATCAATGTATTAAACGTACATCCCAAATCGGTAACAAAAAACTGCTTAATTGTTGTAGTCCTGGGCATGACGATAAACTATATCTGGCACCAAGGCCTCTCATCTGGTGACTGGAAGATTTTGACGAGCGGGGAACCACCTCTTGATTACTATTGTTCCCAGATCCGCCCTGACCAGACGTGATATCACTTCTTATGATCACAGCTATGGGCAAATAGTAACCCCCTCAAAACAAAAAATAAAACACTAAAAGTATAAAAAGTACTTTTTAATACTAAAAATACCGATAATAAATCTTTATATAAAAATACTACAAATACATAATTATATTAAAATTTCCAACAATGTATATATTTAAGTAAAATTACCAACAATACAATTGTAAAGCAAAATGACCAACAATACTTTTTACAGTAGAATTTCAAACAATACATAGCAAACTTTTATCTGTAATTGAAAGCGTACAATTACGTTCAAAATATATTTAGTTGAAGCGATATAATTTCGTTCTATATCGATTTCTGCATTAAATAACCCATAGAGGTTAATATTCCGCTAAACAAAATGAATCAATCTATCTATCTATCTATCTATCTATCTATCTAATTTGGTTATCTAGGTAAAATAGTTAATCTATCTTAATAAGTTATTTGTCTATCTAATTTGTTTATCTAGGTAAATAGGATATCTATCTTAAATAGGTTTTATATCTATCTATCTATCTATCTAATTTGGTTATCTAGGTAAAATAGGTTATCTATTATAATAAGTTATCTGTCTATCTAATTTGTTTATCTAGGTAAATAGGATATCGATCTTAAATAGGTTATCTATCTATCTATCACATCACTATCACTTAAATAACCCATAGAGGTTAATATGCCGCTAAACAAAATCAAGCATGCAATCAACCAACAAAGCCTTGATTTTGTTTCATTTTAGGATCGGAATTTGGGCTACAATCTCACTAACGATATTTAGCCATCAACATGGACGTTTTCCAATTCGTCCTCCTTCATTCTAAGCCGTATCTCGTGAGAGAATGCGAGATCGTCACACTTGATCTTATTCACCGTTACAGTACCTGATAGGCTCCGAGTAAATCTATTAATATACCGTATTGTGCTACTTTTGCTTTCGTGATGATTTCTGATATTGTATAAGCGTAGTCTGAAGTGGGCTGTTTAGAATTGTGGAATCAGTACACTTTCAATGCATTTTCTTTGTCAGTTCATTTCTTATCGAATCGGACTGGCATTTATTAGGACGAAATTTTGGTCTGATGTGTTACGATGAACAACAAACGCGTTTAATGTGTCCTTACGCAATAGATCCCTACAATGTTCTAATAATCAGAAGAGACATCTGTTATCACACAAGAACAATACCAGTAATTCAAACTATATGACGAACTCAGACATTTGAGTACTTTTACTTTTTCAGTTATTGAATCCATCACATATAAAGTGAGTTGTTCTTTTTCGAGGCTTCCTGGATCCTCAGTCCCACTTTCCATGGGTGAATGAGTTAAAAATGAATATTCATATTTTCTACCGCCAGTAGCAAAGTCATTTAACAAAGACGAATGTGTAGTAAATCTACCAAATTAAGCAGACGTTTTCACAAAGCTGAAAGAACTTAATATAAAACTGTAAGGTTGGTAAATTTGATACATTAAAACACAACGAGGAAATAATATCTGTATATATCTCTGATTATAATTACTTGCATTATTTACTTAAGAAAGTTCTGTGGGATCTTCACCCTTTGATGGTTAAATTCTTCTACAAATATTAGGTCATCAACATCGACGCTTTCGAGTAAATCCTTCATGCTATTGGCACTATAGAATTTCGCTCTAGTAACAGAGAAATAGATCAACACAGTTGATCATACTTCCCCGTATACAGTGTCTGATGGGCTGAAAACTCGACGCGTTCCCACTGTGTATAAAAGTGTGTAAGGCTGATGCGTAGTCGGGATACTTTTTTCTGTTCTTCCACGTTCTTTGTTTGCATGAACTAAAGATGAATATTCATATTTTCATTCTCTAAAGAAGTCTTCAGTGGCAAAGTTATTAACCAATGATGAGTGGGTAGAAAATACCAAATCAAGTAAACGTATCTAATCCTGATAATGATCACTTTTCCCGATACGTATAGCATAACTTAAAACGATATTTTTATCATATATATATATGTATATATATATATATTAACAATTTTCAGATAACGAAAGTGTTGTGACCAAGTAATGGTTAAGAAATAACAAACAAGAGGTTGCAGATAATGTATTGAACAGTAAATGCAAGAGAAGTGTGTTACACGAAATGGCAGTATGTGTCGGTTGACCGGCGTTCAGTCTATCTTATCGTTCCACCGAGGCTTACTTTCCTACTAAATTTATAGGAAGTGGAAGAGTCCACAATAGCCTCATTAGAGGGAGCACAACAGAAAGTTTTGTCAAATATTCACTCTTTGGAGTTTTAAAATTTCTACGGATATCAGACCATCAACATCAACGTTTTTGAATAATTCCTTCATGCTGATCGCGCTATAGAATTTCTGTCTACTCAGAGAGAAAGAGATCAGCATACATGATCATACTTCACCGTATATAGTGCCGGATAAGGTTGTTCATTCCGTGCGCTCCTTGAAGCGTTGCAACTCAGATCAGGTTTCGTTCTCAGGGTGCAGCTTACAAAATAACTCTTTGGCCAGATCGTCACCCGCGAAATAAAACCATGAGACTTTTTGTAACAAAAAACAAATTCTTATTTGGTTGTAATCTAGTACTATAGACGAGCGAGGCAGAGATGAAGCGGGGACGAAAGGGGAGGTTTACAGTCTAACGGGCGCCTTCCCTTTTGCGTCGCTGCGAGATCGTCTCCTCGTCACACTCCGTGGGTCTTCTTTTTTCGACTGGTCGTGACCACTGTCTTATAGAGAACATTGTTCTTTGCCTTGTCATCTTCGTCTAAAAAAGTAATGTATCTTCATTTATTGAACCTCTTTGTCAGGGCCACTTGTCATGGTATTGTGAAGTCCACTTTGCTTACAGGAAAATAAACGCGCGATCGTTTTTTTTTTCTTGTTTTGGTGAAAGCTCAGATGTTTTCATTTAAGAAGATATAGACTGACACTGATATCGCTACATCCCCCGCTCTGAGTACAAAAGAGTTTATGATTTTTGTAAGGCTGTTTCGTAGTAGGGATAAAGTGACTAGATCTTTTTCGGGTCTTTATTTCCACTTTAATCAGCTACAGATGAATATTCGTATCTTTCTCTTATGACAAATTTCTTTACCAATGATTGGTGGGTAGTAATTGCATGATGTTTTGAAGCCGTTTTCACAAAGCTCAAAGAAATAAAACCGCAGGTGTAGAGAAACGATGATTAGAACAAATTTAAGAAATAATATCATTCAAGAAATCATTAAAAATTAGCTAAAACTGGCTTAAAATAGATTGGCATGCTTTATACATCTTTCTAACATTTGCAACTCAGATGAAGAATACATAAAAATATAACAAGTTGTTTCATTTTGAGTCATTATTAGAGTTGTAGCGGTAATTACTTGATTTATTTATAATGAGCCATGTTTTTTTTTATTTTATCAAATTCATGTTATGGATATAGCTCTATTTTATAGGATCAGTATTATTCCTACAGATGTCAAGCGTATTGGTAGTCTTTATTTGAAAGTATTTTGATGTTATTTAATTCGTTTCACCCCAAGCAAGACAGTAAAGCTACTAAGTTTTTGTGATGTCAACGAACACTCGTTTGGCACTTTTGTAATGTCAACGTATACTCGTTGTCACTTTCGAAATGCTCTCTGCAGTAGAAACTTTGCAATCGCAGATACAACTATAGTAACGCTGTTGAATAATACTGGTATCAGGCACCATCGAATAACCTCGCACTAATAGTACTTGCTCGATAATACTCGCTCAAATACTAATCCGTATAGTGATCCGAATGGAAAAATGTATAGTGCAATAGAGTAGAGAAATGCAGTCCGTATAGTAATAGAGGATAGACTAGAAATAGCGATCTGAATAGTAATAGAGGATAGACTAGAAATGCAGATCATTTAGACGTCACGCGACTTCCTGCTGATGCGTTTCCTCTATGGTTACTTGGTCTACTTAATTCAATAATGGGATCGCCTGTGTTTGCTCACTGGCGATCTATGTTCAAACTCAAGTGTCGGCAGCGACACTTTATTCCTATATAACGTGATACGAGAGGTTACTGGGTGTGGAAGAATTAGAAAGAATCATTACTAATGAGCAGGACGAGAAAAGAGGAATCAGGAGGGCAGGAGATAACGATTGACACTGCATATAGATTTTTGGAGTTAGCTGGGAAGCATGGAGTCGGAAGGGAGTTTCACAAGCCAGAAGTGTAAGAAAAATAACTGTTAACATAGAATTTACGGCTCCATATAGCCATCTCAACTGATGAGATCTCGCCGTAAGTCTAGTAGCGCGCCTAAACTTTTTTTTAAAATCTAGTTTCCATAGCGTAGAATTCGTCAGAACAATTACCATGAAAGTATCTGTCTGAGATGAAGTATTATGTACACTATTTACATTATTCGGACTATTACCCTCATCTCAGTTGCCATATTTATCAAAAGGTGTCGGCCGATGTACTCTCCGGCCTTCTTCAGGTGGTCAGAATCTCATTAAGAACACATAGCACAGTGGATAAGAGAGTTGGTCAGATCCAGTGACAGTATCCAAAGATTTGTGAGTTCAATACCTAGTTAAGGCGGTGGAGAACTTGGAGAGGGGAATTAACAGGAAATAACTGATAACTGACATCCATTAAGCGAGAGCATCCGCGATGTACTTCTCCCATCTTCTCTTCCTGGCTGGCGAAAACGTGTTGGTGGGCAGCTGAGGACGTGGGCTAGCACAATCATGTATGACCTAGCAGTACTATCGGGTCCACAAGTAATTGGCCTTCGACGATGGAATCGCGATTGGCTCGCCATTTCGTGTGACCTGGCTCAGGATCGGCGAGCGTGGTCAGCGATGGTCCGTGATGCTGTACTTGCTCGGGAGGAAGCCCGTTCAATCCGACTAGGGTGAAAACCGATATAAGTCAAAAAAAAAAGTCAAGAAGCCGAGATGCCAGATCAGGACTAATAATATTTATGATTCTACTTTGGATTTTATCAAATAGCGCAAGGTAACTAGTAAGGGCACCGGACCATATATGGCAGAAACATTCTAAGCATGGACGAATGGTAGATATGTCAGATAGATTCTGGTTATATGAGCAAGCAGCTGATATTATTTATAAGCCTTGCACGCATCAAACTTGCTTTAAATCTCTACTACCTTTCAAATTTAAAGTTATACATTTTATTCAGTTATTGCAGCACCATCTGTTATAACCAAAATTGCATCTGGTAACGTTCAAAAACGTTATCAATATTAATTTCTTACAGAATGTTTTATAAGAACACCTCGACGTTCGATTTGCGGTACAAAGCTGTACTGCTCTCCCGCTTTGCATACAAGTTTTTATTGTAACTCTTGCTAAAAGAAACATATTATAATTTAAACGACTGAACTACAAAATAAAACTGTTGAAAAGTATATGAAATGACGTACAAATTTCTTTTGAAATGTCCTCAATGCTTGAAGCACAAATTCTGCTAAAAGCTAATTCTTACAAGCTGTATTTAATGCCTCCTAAAAAAGGTGCTAACATTTCATGAATGCGAAAAAATTAAATTCATTTTAAAGGCTAAAATTTGTGGCAATCACTTCCATTATAAAGAATATTGTATTTCAATAAAGAGAATAGAATTCTTTAAAAAGCATATAATATATATGTGATATTTGTGCAGCTCAAATAATTTATAATGTATAATAGGCCAAAAAATTATATTTATTAACGGCTCAACTTCAGAACGAAAGAGTTGAAAAAGTTATAGTTATAAATTTCTTTCGAAAGGTCGATAATTTCCTTCTATAAAGTCATACTAGCAGCATAACTCGATCGCTGGTTTCATTACTGGGAATTTTTGCCGTTCATTTAGAGCAGTTTAAATTTAAAGTCAGACCACCCGTAAATCAATATTAGTAACAACAATTGGGTGCAACAAAGGCAAAATCCCAAATGGGGGTGGGTGGGTTTAACAATTTGAATAGGGGTCGCCCTGAAAAGGGCCGTTTTTGCGTTCTCAGTTTTGCAAGGTAGGGAACTCTTCTATCGACCGTCATAATAATAATAATAATAATATACGATAATTTCTATTTATAATATAATTTTTTTTCATAATTCTAATAATCTTTTGCGTTAGATTTCAACGCTCTAAATTAATTATATGCTGTTTTTTACAGACATTAAATTTTGCCTTTGATTTTTCGCAAAGTGTAAAAAATCAGGTTTTTTCGAGTTTTTACCTTCAAGGTTGTAATTTTTTCCAGTCAATTCGGACTCAAAACCGGAACGGAAGAATTATGTATCAAACAAAAAAAAATTTCATCGAAATCAAATGAAAACTGTGAAAACGCATAAACAACATCCGATCACACACACACACATACATACACATATTTTGTGAATTATAGATATAAAATATCCTAAAGTGCAAGAACATACATGATTGATTACGGTGAGCGTTTCATATAGAATTACTATTAAGCATCTAAACAGATCTGTTTATGCTTTTAATGCGCCTGGTATATCTACAGAGATTTATCGAAGTGGCGTAAGGGGGCGTTTCGTATGAAGCTTAGCTTAATTTAGTTCAAGACAAGTATGGGCGACTCAGTAAGGACTGAATTCGCAAAACCCTTGCAGTTGTCAGACTAGCTCGCCAATCAAAATCCAACACTGAAGCCCTCTAAATCTTACTTATTATAAAACGCAGATTGTGTGTGTGTGTGTGTGCGTCTGTACGTTTATATATTGGATCGGATTTCCTACATTTTTCAACCGATTTCAACAAAACTTCACAGGACTGCGTAAAATTACCTTGCGTTGGTTCTGACAGCGCCGAAAATAAGAAAAACACAATTGTTTTTGCAAGAAATCAATTTGAAAACACGATCAAACACGATTCTGTCGCCAGAATAAAAGGGGGACAACTCATATCGAGTTATACTTATTATAAAACCCAGGTTGTGTGTGTGTGTGTGTGTGTGTGTGTGTGTTCGTTTATATATGGGATCGGATTTCCTACATTTTTTAACCGATTTCAAGAAAACATCACTTTTTTTGGCAGGTAGTGTTTCTTATTGTCTTGCACACTTTTTTCTTTATTTTTACATTCAGAATGCTTTAAAAATTTCATTTACAAGACAATTGTTTATAATAAAATTCTATTCAATCGGTAGACTCATAACGATTGAAACAATGTTTTTGTTTTAGTTGGGGTTTGACCAATTCGTAAAAAACAAAAAAAAACAAAAAAAAAACAACAAAAAACAACTAATTAAGACATGCGTATCCGTCAACCTTAAACAATAATCTTTGTCAATTTTATTTTTCAGCCTTTATGATGGTCGATACTTGATCTATCTCTTACTGTTACATCCCCGGGCAACGCCGGGCTCTACTGCTAGTATTTACTAAGCTTAGCTTAGTTAAGTTTAGCACATTGCTGTTTCCTCGAATGTGTATAAAGTCAAATATAATTTCTAAGGAATCAATGGAATCTTTGTCTGACACTATTTCCTACTACTCACGTTTGTGCAGACGCCCTGTTTTGAAGTATTTGCAACAGTGTTCATCGTCGAGTGTATTAATAAATCAAATATGCTCACCGGCAGGGTTCGAACCTGTGTACCCCTTCATAAGTTTGGGCTTTGATACTCTCTGTGACTGAGTAGTCTAGAGCACACCTGATCAGACTGGCTTCTCTTACGATAGGCGTCGACTCAAACTTTGGTATAAACACAATAATATTTAGAATAGTATACTCAAATATAAATCACATGTACCCAATACCTAACAAATTAAAGGAGTATAGACTCTTGCATGAATTTGTGGGATGAGGAGTTATTATTATTAACACTATTTATTATCGGACTATTGTTGTTATCACTCAAATTTAACGGGCACATATTACTTCTTCGCGGCCTCGGAGCGGCGAAGCCATCGTCCGTCGTTAAAGGTGGTCGTCCGTTCGCATTACCGGCCCTTCCCGCCGGTGTCAACCAAATGCACATCTACCACGCGTTTCTGCCGGGGAAGTTAGATTGGGAGTAGTAAGTGTCCGTTTTTTTTTTGCGTGATAACAACAAGAATGATGAGGACAATAATCCTAATATAAATGGCGTAAATGATTATAGACAAATTTTTTTTTTAAATCGCAGATTTTGATACAGAACCAACTAATCAAACACTTATACTATTTCCCACCAGTAAATCTCCCTTCTTTGAGGCTACAGAATGGATTTAAGGGTCGATATGGCTAAGCGAGCAAGAAAACCCTCTCTCTGGTAAGTTGTTGTTATGAATAGTTACTTGGGCGGACACTTTCCTAAACCGCTCTCCAATAAATACAGCCCTTATTGCTCAGCTTGTTAATAAAGATGCACCTATTTTCAACCTTGATGTTTGATCGCATACGTGCTCTTATTGCCAATTTAAACCCGGTTCGCACAAGCACGGTTTTGTTTCTCGTATGTTGAATGATTTATTAAGTCACAGATTTTGATTCATAATTGCAGTTCTAATTAATTTTCCTTACGTGTATCGAAAGTTTAAAAAAAAAAACACCAATTTTATAGATTGCTTCTATACAATACTGTTTTTTCTGCGGACAATAAGTGCACGATTGGTGGAATAAATTTTCTACGGTGGTCAATCACTAACATGAAAACTAGATTATATTACTCGGGATACCAATGAGATAATTTTGTTTCATGATTTTTCTCACCAAGCAAGGCAATAAAGCTAAGGGATTGCTGGGAGTGAAAGAGAATTAGAAGACTTTAGTCAGGAAAATTATTTATTTATTTTTTTGTAAGCATTACGCCTCGAGCAAAGCGGGAAGCCACTAGAATTCAGGGGATTGCAGAAGATTTGGAGCAAGAGCAGATAGGAGTGATAGAAGAAAGGATGAGGAGGGGGATAGTGGATAGATCAAGGTAACTGGAGATGTCGATTGACATTACATTTGAGTAGTTGGAAATTATAGCTCTCAGGGAAACAGTAATTGAGAAGGGTGTTCCACAGGCGAGAGGTGCGAGGTATGAAGCTATTGGAGTAGAAGAGACGGCTACATTTAGGAGTTTTGACAGTGAAAGGGTGAGAGCGGGATGCCAGCCTCGTAGGGCGCTTGAATTCATGAAGTCTGAGAACCAGTGAAAGCAGCTCATCGGAGCAATTACCATGAAAGTATTTGTAAAAAAGACAGAGAGAGGCGATGGCGCGTCTGTGAGAGAGCAACTGTAGACGAGATGCCAGATCAGGGCCAATTATGGGCAATAGAAGAACAGGATTCAAGAAGAATTAAATTTACGATTGACGTTGCATTTAAATTTTTGAATATTGTAGGTGGAATAAACTAGAAGAGGTTTCCACAGACGAAAAGTGCAAGAAAATCTATTAGAATAGAACATCCGGTTACATCTAGCTAATTCAATACTAAAAGACAAGACCTAGTAGCTAATTTAGTAGTACACACGATCGAGGTTACCAAGTAGAAAAGCTCGGCGGAACAATTGCCATGAAAATATTTATTTTCAAAGAAGATAGAGGGAATCTAAGTTACGCGATGGGATAGTGACTAAATTTAAGATGCTGCGTCAGGACCGATTGTATTACAGATGTGACATCACCCCGTCTGTCTGCCCCACACTCCGTCTATCCTGTGACGACCAATGTGACTTGGTCTTGGTCATGGCACCAAATGTGACGTTCTAACCTTTTGCTGATTCGGATGGGAATCTGGTTAGATTCGGTATCAGCCCTGTCGTTCCCAGCTCGCCTCCAACGTCTGGCTACCGAAGTAACTGCTTTGATTTCTAGTTTAACCTACCCACGTTGTGATTTGATGTTAGGTAGACGAAATCAATCAGTCGCCGAGCCGCAATGAAAGTCGAGTCCGAACAAGGGCAATACCGCACAAGTATATGTAAAACAAAATAAAGTAATAACTCGAAAAGTTCAAACGTGTTAAAAAAGAATAACAATATTTTATATCTGGTTGCTGAATACAGGACTGCATCTTTCTCCCAACCCGCTTATATGGATTCATGACACTTTGTGTTTGTTAGGCGAGTCTTAACATCTTAAGTTGTTTTCTTTTTAAGAAACTGGTTTTTGGTGTATCTTCAGGCGATATTCGTAAAACTTGTTTTGGTGGTGTCAGTCTAAGTCGTTCTTCAAAAATAAATTTTTCTTGGTTAGAAGTTAAGGTCGTGATGCGTGGAAGTTTCAGTCAGCTTTCTGCGAGGTTGGTCTCAGGGCTCACAGCTCAACTCTGTCTGCGTCTGCCAACTCCGTCTGTTTTGCTCACTCTGCAACTGTCTGTCTGTCTCTTCAACCTCAACTCTACTGCCGTCCACTGGCTGCGACTCTGCTTGTCAGGGTTTGAGATTCCTTGATAATTCTAAATCCACAATAAGGATCTTCTTTGTCCTCGGATAGGAAAATTTATTACTTTCCATTTTTGGAAGTCCTTACTTTCTACTTAAATGGAACCGTCCTCCCAAATTCTTCCTTTCTCATTTTGGTATCTCACACCAATCCCCTAAGATGGCGTCAACAGATTCCCCTCTCTCTCTCACAGTGCCATCTCACACCAATACCTTCAGGGGGCGTCAACAGGTCTCCCTTCCTTCTTCATAGTTTACCTTCGCCTACCGCTCACGCCACCCTTCAGCCAATGAACGCTCAGCAGCGTGGGTGTGGCTAGACTGGCCTCGGTTTAAAAAATCTCGCTAAAAGAAAAAAATTATCTTCCCGTTTTCTTTTTCTTTTCTTTCTTTTCTTCTTCCCGACAACAACCCCCTACGATTCTTATCTTAACCGAACGTCCTCTGGAATTCGTCAACGAGATTTTCGTCAAATGATCAAAGAGGTTGGTCAATGATTTTCTGCACGCTGTCGCCAATTATCTGTTCTGATAAAATAAGTTTTCTATCATAGCCAGCTCTGACACAAAACAGGTGTTTTTTCCCAAATGATATCTCCGCAGATAGTTAATGGTTTAATCTTTCCTTCTTTGTAACTTGTGGGTGGTCCAGCGGACATTTTTTCTCGGTCAAAGCGTGACCTAATTAATGTTATCTCTTAGCATTCTGTTTTGTGGGCCACTATCTTTTATTCACTCCGTCGTAACATAAATCAAATTAAATCCGCCAGATCCGAGATTTAACTTTCTTCGCTAATGAAACTAAAATCTTTACCACTTTTCTTTGTTAGAAAATTTAACATCACTCAGTGTCTTTTCGTGATAGCTTCTTATCACCTAAATTAATTATCGCCCTCATTTTTTTTCCACGCAACCCTAAATAGTGTCACACAGACCCTTCTTTGAATTTGCTTGGGAATCTTGGGATATACAGAAACCAGAGCAGATATGGAAGCAATACTCAAGGCGCTGACGAATGGTAGATTTATAATGATGTAAGATGGATTCTGGCCATAAAAATTGTCTTGCACGACACAGTGAACCGACTTTCCCAGCCACATACCTATCAATTGATTCAATGTAATCTTTCCGCATTCTGTCAGCTGAAAACGTTGGTCCAAGAAGGCGAAATGAGTTACTCTTGTTGGAGGCTAGCATCAGCGATATCTGCTGAAAGATAAAAAGGCTTCTCGCAGACGATTATTTGAGAGCAGTTTCGTTTTGGAGACATTAAAATTAACAAGTCTTTGAAAATATCTTGAAAATTTCTGTGAAAGATGATAAAAAATAAGGTATGTAGAACAGAAAAATAACAAAATATAATAAAATATAATAAAAAATAAGGCTTGTAGAATAGAAAAATAACAAAATATAACAAAATATAATAAAAAATAAGGCTTGTAGAATAGAAAAATAACAAATTATATAAAAAATAATAATAAAAAAATAAGGCTTGTAGAATATATTATACACAGGATATATTAAAAGAAGAAATACAAGAACATGGAGAATCAACGCGTGAGCAGCCTAACAAATTTGTGTGGATTGTTTGTTGAAGAACAAAGAGGATTTGTAAAGAAACAGCAGAGGCGGAGCGGTTCTTGATTTGTCGACCTCTCTCTTCAGGCGAAGAGGAGCCCAGATGAGACTCTGCCCTTCGGCATTGCCTCGTCTGTGGAGATAGACAAACTCGACCCCGTGTCTAATTTTTAACCCTTGTGTCACATTCTGCCTTGTGTGAAGGTTGGGTAAATACCGAGACAACGGTTACTTAAAGCGACAACGAAACAGAAGTTATGGAAGTCCATGATTGTCCACGTCACGAAGAGACACAGCACATAAAAGAAGAATACACCATACGGTAGGATATATTACAAAAGGCATCCATATTTATTCAATTTTATAGAAACAGACATAATATTCTAGTGAACAATTAAAGAATGATCATAGTCTGCAATAGTGAGTAAAATACCGAAAAAAAACATATTAATGAGTTTCGTTCATACAACAAATGTAGTTCCCAGCTTGCTTTACAATTGCTCCATGGTCAAAACTACGTAATCATAACATAGTTACGTAAATTACGTGAATACTGTGGTAGACTTGACTGAATAACTTCTGTTCCCTGTCTCAAGAATAAACGGTCTATCTTTTTTCATTAATCCACATAGTTGCATCTTTTTTAATGACATCATTTCTGAATTTAAAAAACGTGGAAGAATCTGAAACATTTTAATAGTGCTGCTGGAATCACCTCTCTGTTTCCGAGGGCGACTTATATTAACTATTTATAAGCTCTTGGAACATTTGTCCCGCAAAAATATTGGCGGACTCACGTGAGACCCGGTAATAATTGAAAATACAAAACATGGAATTTTAAAACAAACAACAATTAATGAATGTTATTACCAAAAGGAATAAACGACAGAAATCAAAGAAAAAGACAACGGAAATCAAAGAAAAAGACATGAAAACTAGCTATAAGAATGTATTTGTTTCTGGGTTTGTGTGCGAGAGTTCAGTCAACAGAGAACTAAGGAAGAGAACACCCCCAGACGGAAGTGTTCTTTATCTACGTTTGAATACATCTGGAAGGAAGAGGATTAAGAGAAATATGGAGAATTT